ATAACTGTAAAATAATTATAGAAAAAGATTATTTAAAAAGTCTTGAATAATTTCATATTCAAACTATATCAAAAATCATCACGAATATTATAAATAATAAAGGGTTTAATAAAATAATAAAAATTATGACGACGGTTTCCTAGGTTTAATCTTGATATTTAACTCTAGACAATTAGTAAGGAATCCAGTATGAGTTTTCAATGGGGCATCCGTATCAATTAATCCTACGTCATACTTTTTGAACATTAATGCCATAAAAGATAACATACTAATCATTGCCAACTTTCTTCCAGGACAAAGTCTTATTCCACCACCAAAAATAACTAAAGAAAATTTATCTTTGTTATGAATAGACTTTTTATTCTCTTTATCAGAATTGCTCAAACCATCATTAAATTCATCTAAATCATTTTGTAAATAAAATCTATCTGGATCAAAAACAGTAGGATTGACCCAATACTTTTCATTCATATGAACACTGGCATAATTTAAGTGAAATACAGTTTTAGCAGGCCATTTGCACCCCATAGCCTCGCATTTTGCACTTGAAACTCTTTTTGATACCGGTACCACAGGTGTCATACGAGATGCTTCTTTAATTATTGCTTCGCAATACTTGAGTTTTGCAAGATGATCAGAGTTTATATTTAATGTGTCAGAAGAATTATTTGGAAAAACTGAGTCAATTTCATCAAGCATTTTCTGCTTTACATGTGGATTATGACAAATATAATAAACTATATAGCATAATGTATTTGAAGACTGTAAAAAAAAGGTAAACGTACATATTAATAACATACAATAACATACGAACGATGTATTATGTAGTGAGGACAAATATAACATAATTCAATTAAACATTTAAACATACCGTGTCAGACCCAGCAATAAAAACATCAAATAAAAGTGCTCTAATATCATCATTAGTTAAAGACTCAGTCGTATTAGTTTTTGCATTATGATTTGCAGTGATGAGAATAGTTAACAAATCATGTTTTGATTTTAATTTCTGAGGAGTATTCACAAAATCAAAATTCCTCTTTTCAATCATATTGTTCAGCGTTTTTATTATGTA